GGTTCATGGGGCGGCTCCCCCGCGGAGGCCTGGCGCGCACAAACCCACAACTTTTCGGGCCCAGGATAAATATCACTTCCACGATTGTCTCTGCAGGACGACTTACATTCTGGGTCGCGACCCTCGCAGCCGATCACGATTTGACCAGCTTGCTGAGCGCGGTCGCGGAGGATGTCGAGACGCGCGAGGGGGCCGCCCACGCGCCCCCGCGGCAGCCGATTGAAGTTCACGAGCGCTGAGACTGCTGAGGCGCGCCCCCCTCGCCCTGCTCGCGCAAACATTCGGCCAAATTGCGCGTCGGGAAGGTCATCGGCGGCGCTGTTTTGCCGTCGATGCCGCCTCCCTTCACGAGGAAAGCCGGCGGCCACTCGAACGCGCTTGATCGGGCCATGCCAGCCAGACGAGATAAGATACAGGCCGCCCGGCGAAACTCGTCGAGGTCCGACTTCGCCCACTCCGCGGGCCTTCCATCTGGAGCGAGATGAGGGGCTGAAGCCTAGGGTCCACCGACGGCGTTGCTCTACCCCAAACGCGTTTCTCTTCGTCAACGAACTGGCCATTGTCGTCCGTCGCGTCGTTGCGGCTGCCGCCGCACCCGGGACCCCCCGCAACAGAATTGCGAAAATGCCCCTCGCGCGCCGCGTCGCCACTGCACTGGGCACCGCCAACAGCGCGGTAGTCCAGATGAGTGCGCATCGGGATCTCGTCCTGCCAGTCTGAGGCGAGTCGGACGGCACTGCGATGTCTTGAACCAAAAGATCGTAAACAGGCATTCCCTGACCTGTCCCACTGCCCCTTGGAGATCTGACAACATAGTTGTCCAATTACCCACTGAATTCCCACTCCTATCAGCACCCTTTTACCCGCCTGCGTTCCCGGGGCCCCCGAAACATAGTTGCTAGAAGTTCGGGACAGCGGGCTGCGGCTGCTGATGGGAACGATTCTTCATTTTCAAACGGGAGCCCGACCTGCGGTACCAAGAGCGGTTCCAACACACTTGGAATACGCCCTTGGAGAGAGGCATGCAAAGGCGGCGGGCGGGCACCGCGCTCCTTGAAGCTATCGAATATGTGTTTGTTATGGTAAGTGTCCGCCTCGTCGCTCGTTTTACCGAACGGGGGGTGGATGAACACGGAGAGCAAGAAGAGCTGGATCATCATTGCCGAACATGATGGAAATGATGGGGTGACACAAGGCGAGCACAAGACTTGAAGAGATGCCACGCGGGCCACGGCGGCGAGAGGTAGTGGAAGGGAGCCAGAGCTCCGCTACCAACTATGAGCACCGATTGTGAGGTGATGGCCCTTCTCAATACCGAACACGGCGAAATGACCAACACGCGTTTAACACGGGCACGACAGGTTGCAACCTGGCGTGCCCCCAGCCAAATGGCGGCGGGAGAACGGTGACAATTAAAGCAGGCAGCAGAAAGGGTTGGTAGGCTACCGTTCGGGCGGGGGGGGGCGGGAGGGAGGGGAATGGAGGGAGAAGGGGGGGGGAGCAGGGTAAAGGGAGGAGGGAGGACGGAAGAGGAGGGGGAGGGGGGGAGAGAGAAGGGGGCAGGGAGGGAGAAGGAGGGAGGGGGGGGAGGGAAAAGTGAAAGAGGGCAGTGAGGAGGGAGGAGGGAGGAAGGGGGGGGGGAAGAGAGAGACCTTTCGATTGCGTGCTGCAGGGGCTGGGGGCCCTCGGGGCAGACCCACCCCATGGGGCTCACCACACGGCGCGGTCACCGCACCGCCCGGGGCCCCCAAGAAACCCAAAGACCCCGAGCGGCTGTCCCTCAGAGGGAAGAGGGGCCGAGTCGGCACCTCGCCCCCTGCGGGGGGCCGGCGAAGGGCCACCGCAGGTAGCAGGAGGGCGGCTCCGCCAGCGGAAGGTCGGGGGAAGGCGGCGGAATGGCTCGTTGTCAGCGGCGACGAGTTTTCGCCACCTCTTCAACGAATAAGTCTGCCTGCTGTTGCATGCACGCCCCTGCTGGAGGGGTTCTGAGACAAACCGGCTACAGTCGCGTGCTGCATGATCGCCCCCTGCCTTATGCTTCGATATGTCTGCAACTATCTTGTTTGAGCGGTTGGGGCAGCCGAGTGACGCTTGCGGGGCCGAATGGGAGCACAGGAGGAGAAGGAGAGGCGCGGAGGTGGGCAGGAGGCCGCGGGCGGCGGAGCACGCACAGGCCATGCAGGCCTCGCACGCGGCGGAGGTGAAAGTGAGACGGCAACGAGTTCGGACTCCTCCTCCTCCTCCTCCTCCTCCTCCTCCTCCTCCTCCTCCTCCTCCCCTCCTCCTCCCTCCTCCTCCTCCTCCTCTCCTCCTCCTCCTCCTTCTCCTCCTCCTCCTCCTCCCCTCCTCCTCCTCCTCCTCCTCCTCCTCCTCCTCCTCCTCCTCATCTCATCATCATCATCATCATCATCATCATCATAATCCTCATCCTCATCCTCCGCCCTGCTCCTCCGCCCTCCTCCTCCGCCCTCCTCCTCCGCCCTCCTCCTCCTCCGCCTCCTCCTCCTCCTCCTCCTCCTCCTCCTCCTCCTCCTCCTCCTCCTCCTCCTCCTCCTCATCATCATCATCATCATCATCATCCTCCCTTCTCCTGCTCCTCC